CAAGGAAAAGAAATAAAAGGCACTCTAATAGGAAATGAAGAACCGAGACTGTCTCTGCTGATGATATGATCTTATATAGACAGCTCATGACTTTTTCTTAGACATTCAAGTGTGGGTTGGCCCCTAGTTAATTTTTGTGCATGGTGTCTGGATTGTTGCTGAGATTGGCTATCTTGGTCTAGGATTTTTGGCCATTGGCCATCTTATCCTATAATGGTGTATTTCCATCTCTTCTATTCATTTCTTTTTATGTTTTCTTTATACATTCTGAATTTGAATCCTTTGCCTGTTACATGCTGTTGGTGAAGGTAATCAATGCTGGTTCAGAAACCAACAAAGTCAACATGTCAGTGGCTGAAGCCCACAAAGCCTTCCCTACTCCTCACATTGCCATTCAAGCATGCTGCACCCCTACCGTGCATGTGAGCCTTCAAGATAGCCTGGCAAAGAGGAGAAGCAGAAGGGCTCCAAGAATCTGTGGCCCAGAAGTGCAGACATCTCCCCGCCACATTTAACCAATAGAAACTCATCGTGTGGCCCTAACTCATGGCAGGTGGCTGGAGGCTGCCGGCCCACATGCCCAGGAGGGAGACAGTGAGCCGGCAGTCTCCCTGCAATGCCCCACAGGGGGCTTCTCTGGGACGAGCCTTGTGCCTTTGTGTGCATTTTACCGCATTCAAGATTGTCAGTATTTAATGATCTGTGCCTTTTGCATTTTTTATGAGACATTGGTTCTTCCACCAACGAGGTCAGTAGGTATTGTTGACCGGGGGGAGATGGTGAATGTCCAGGTGACAAAGGGTAGTTTCAGCCACCATCAGCCTCTGTGCTGCGGCCAAGAATGGCCCCTGGGAGGAGGCCACTTTCCTCCACCCAGCATGCTGGCATGCCCTTCCTCGGCAGGAGGTTCTGAAGTTCCAGCTGTTGCCCTTGGAAAGGAACTTCACATCTCTCCTCCACAGCACACCTCCCTGAAGTTCACCCTGGTGTGGGGTTGTGTTAGCACAGAGGTTCACATACTTGGATGCTTGCTGGAGCCACACCCTAGGAGAGGAACCGAGTCTGGGATCCTCAGAGGAGGACGTGCTTCTCTGAGCAAGGCCCCTCCGTCTCGCCATCTGTGGGATTCAGGTGCCTGTAGCTGGGGGGCTCACCATGTGGTCCCCTGGTGCCTCCTGGAGACCCAGAGGGGAGCCAGTGAGGCAAGCCCTGGCTCCCGACTCAGGGTGCAGTCCTGGTGCCAGAGAGAAGCCTGGCTCGCTTCTTCTGTGTGGGTAACAATCCCCCTGGGCACCGAGGAAGGAGAACTGCCCAGACCCCAGGCACAACTAGTGCCTGAAGAATATCTTAGTTTATAGTGTCATTGCTCAGCTGTTTCCTTTATATAATCCTGCATATATAATCACATATTAGTTAGTGCTTGAAGTGTAACTTACTGCTTACATCTGTCTAGTTTATATATTAAACTAGTTTATATGTCTAGTTTAGTTTATAGATATACTTAATACTTATATCTAGCATACTTAGTTCTATATAATCTTTCTATGTGATCATATAGGTATTGTAGTCGGAGCTGCACTGACACATTCAGTGCTGATTTATGGAATCCTTCCATATAACCATATAGTAGTTTGTAGTAGGAGGAATGCCTAGAGCAGTCACAGAGCAGAAGCAGTACATGGGAAAACAGCCAGACCAGGACAAGAACCAAAGACCCAGGTGGTGGTGTCCCTGCCTGAAAGGGCACATGCTGTATGGCAGGCTTGGAGCAGAAGCCTCTCCTCCTGAGAAAGGGGTTGTAGCACCTTGCATCCAGTTCCTGTGGAAAGTCGGCCTCAGACCTGAGATCCTGGAAGTAACTGAGGGAAAAAACTGGTCACTCTCTGGTGTGAGCAGTCACGGCGGCTGGACACCCTGTCAGTCTTTTCTTGCTTCTGTGTTAGCTCAAAGAATCCTCCCATAAATATCTTAAGAGAAGAGCACAAGTCTGCCAGCTCCCACTGCACTGGCTCACAGTATCCTATTAGAAATCCTTTGAAGTCTCAGCCCCCAGATAAGAAGTGTCGTGCACGACACCTGCTGCACACAGCCCACCTCCTTGCCTCGGTGACCTAATGGGGGTGGACCCCTTTTCTGCACACAACCCTCTACTGCGCACGGCACGGCCCCCTACTGCGCACGGCCCACCTCTCGGCCCAGGTGACATATGGGGTGGTCCCCTCCCTCTCTTGTGACTCACGTGATTATGTATGCCCTATCACTAAGCCTACAAATGATGACCTCACTCACGACCTAATAAATACAGATGCTCTTGGGCCTTTGGGGCCCCCGCTGATCTCCACTCACAGGTGGCGGGCCCCCCGAGTCCAGATGCTCTTCACCAGTTCTTCAGTGTCCTGTCTCTTTACCTCTCAGATCCTACACCGCAACACAGCATAAGGGACACCCCACAACCCTGTGGGGTCCTACAGCCCTACACCTCTGCACTGGGGCCGGGGTA